GTGACTCCATGGACTGCAGCACACCAGGCTTCTCTGTCCTCCACTATCTCCTGGAGTCTGCCCAAACTCATGTCCATTGAGTCTGTGATGCCGTCCAACCATCTCATCCTCTGTTGCCCTCTTCTCCTCCTGCCCTCAGTCTTTCCCAGCATCAGGGTCTTTTCCAGTGAGTTGGCTCTTCGAATCAGGTGGCCAAAGAATTGGAGCTTCAGCTTCAGCATCAGTCCTTCCAATGAATATTCAGGGTTGATTTCCTTGAGGATTGTCTGGTTTGATCTCCTTGCAGTCCAAGGGACTCTCAAGAGTCTTCTCTAGCACCACAACTCTGCCATCCACTTATTCATGACTGTGCCCACCCAAGGTGGTCTGGATCTCAGCCCTGAAGGAAGGGGGGCCCTACCTTGGACACTCTATCTCAGTTTGGGGGGAAATAGCTACTCCTTACATCTGCTATTCTTATATTCTTTAGAGTTCTCTTCTTACTAACTAGTCCTTGGTTACTCAGGTCCTCTGTTAGAATAATTCTTTATTGAATTTCTTTGTGGTCCATGTCTCTTGATTGGACCCTGGCAGATATAGGACTGGTACCAAGAGTGGTACCAGGAAATAGACCCACAAAGATGGGATTTGGGGACAGGTTAGGTCATGGCTTTGAGTGCAGCACTGAACACCTTGTCAATGGAAAATGGGATGCTGGTAATTTATCACATCGAGTGACATCACAATTAATCAAGCTATTTGTTGCTTATTGTGGTGAAATGCCAACTGAAGTACATGGCCTTGCAGGCAGAGCAGCTGCTTCACTTGACAGTTACGACAGTAATGATGACTTTTAAGACTGTCGTCAGATGGATTCTTGAGTGTGCACTTGAGCACTTACAGGTAGAAAAATCGCAAGCTCTTTAACTCTCAGCTTAAGTCATGGTTTAAGAATCTGAGATTTCCATGATAGCCCTGAAAGAATCTCTTCTTTCTTGTGTTCATAGGACTGATGGTGTTGAAAATCAAGCACAAAATTAAATTATTTACATATCCAGGTTGTTTATAGTAGAGTTGAGTTCACAGTCTCACCAAGTTTCTCACATGAAAGTTAGAGTATGAATTGCTAAAAACTGAGGTTCCAAAACCTGGAATGGGAACATATGTTTGGATCCAGATAAAAGTGACAATTTCTCATAAAGGCTGAAAAGTCAAAGGGGTGGATTATTGTTACTAATTTATTGCTTCTCAGATCCAGATCCATTCTTCATTGTCTGCTCTGCAGAAGTAAAGATGGATCTTTTTTTCTGGCTGGGTCACATGACATGTGGATTGGAGAAGAGGGTGACAGAGGATGAGATGGTTGGATGACATTGCCAATTCAATGGACATGAACTTGGGCAAACTCCAGGAGATGGTGAAGGACAGGGAAGCCTGGAATGCTGTAGTCCATGGGGTCATGAAGAGTCAGACACGATTTGGCATCTGAACAACAGCAACAACACATGGCGATGGGATCTTAGTTCTCAGGTCAGGGATGGTACCTGAACTCCCCGCAGTGAAAGTGCAGGGTCTTAACCACTGGACCACCAAGGAAGTCCCAAGATGGGTCCTTCAAATATGTTTTCTGTGTCAGCTAGTGAGGTGTCCGGCTCTGTCAGCAGAGGTACTGCGGAGACATTTCGGGAGGAAGTTTTCCTTACTGCTTCTGATGTGCTCCTGTTGGCACTCCGGTGATCTTAGTCGCTTCGCCAGTACCTAGCTCTTGCTTTATGGGTAATTTCTTTATCCTGGATGCTTGTTCCACTCACTGATGGAGGCTAGAAACCCAAGAGTCATCTGAATCTTCTGTTCCCCCGCTGTCCCCCATACTGATCACCAGGTCAAGTGGATTCTGTCTGCGGGATATGTCTCATTCCCCCTACTCCCCTCCCGCACTCCTTCTCCATGCCCACTCCCACTGCTTCCGTTCAAGCCTTGCTTGGAGGGTTCGAATAACTCCTAGCCTATAGCCTCTGCCTATATTTTCACCTCTATTAACTCATTCTCCACACTTCAGGCAGAGTGATTTTTACTAAAATAAAGTGATCCTGTCATTCCCCAGCTTAAATTCTTCAAATGGGTTCCCATTGTTTCTAACACTAGTCTCCAAACTTTGTTTCTACAACACATCAGTGACACATTTTTGAGCATTCAACCACAGTCTATGTACCTTCAGTTACATACATATTCTGCTCTACTTAAAATTATGAATATGGAGGGGGGAGGGATCAATTGGGAATTTGGGATTAGTAGATACAGACTACCAGGTATGAAATAGATAAGCAATAAGGACCTACTGGAAACTTTATCCAATATCTTGTAATAACCTATAATGGAAAGGAATCTCAAAAAGAATACATACATATATATATAAATAAATTAAAACTGAATCACTTTGCTCTATACGTGAGACACTGTAAATCAACTATATTTCATAAAAAAATTTTAAATACATTCTAGTGGGTAATAAATTATAAATGTGATAAAATATATAAAGAAAGAAATGAAAATGTGCAAGGTAAAAATAAATAGAAGTTCTGCTATTTTCTTTCCATATCTCAATAGTTATTTTTGGAATCTCCTGGGGAGGATTTGCCCACTTTGAATACCACTTATTACTTGGACAAATGAACGGCTTAGCTTGGCATACCAAGCCTTGATGATGTCTTTTTTGTTTTGCTTTGTTTTAGATTCATTTTATTTATTTATTTCTGGCTGTGCTGGGTCTTCATCGCTGAACTTGGACCTTCTCCAGTTTCCGTGAGTGGGAGCTCTCTCTAGTTGCAGTGCATGCGCTTCTCACTGTGGTGGTTTCTCTTGTTCCGGAGCACGGGTTCTTGGGCAGGAGAGCGTCAGTAATTGTGGCATGTGGGCGTGGGCTTTGCTGTCCCACAGCACATGGGAGCTTCCCAACCCAGGGCTCGGACCCATGTCTCTTTCGATGGCGGGTGGATTCTTTACCACTGAGCCGCCAGGGAAGCCCCATGATGTCTTTTACTTGACATTAGAACTTGACTTAAAAGCGATCTCTCACCTGTGCCACCTTCTCTTACTTTCCCAGTTGACTTTGGAGATTTCTGTCTGAGATCCCATAGTCCTTTTCTTCCCATATCTTTATCATAGTGTTCTCTTTAGCGGCAGCTGCAGAATCTCCACCTGAGAAAATGCAGGGGCAGAAATTGGGTTTGGGGTAGTTGGGTTTGGAGGGCGCTGCAGCTCCCTGACTTGTCTCACTATCAAACACACTCTTTTTGCTTAGATGGTATTGAATTTTTTTTTTAAACTGCATGGCATGGCTTGCAGGATCTTAGTTGTTCAACCAGGAATTGAACCCGGGCCAGTAGCAGTGGACAGGCCAAGTCCTAACCACTGGACTGCCAGGGAACCCCCTTGTAGGGACATTTTTTGGTGTGACTTTTAGTGGTGGTGTTGAAAATGGTGAGAATACTGCACTGAAGACCCCCAGCACCCACCCGTTGGCACACCTGGGGATTGGAGTGGGGCTGTTGGGATCTGTTTACAGGGGAGTCATCAGGAAAAAAGAGCACCAAGGCACACTCGACAAGAGTAATGGGCCAGGGTCATGGGAGTGGTGGCTAAGTGTTGCTTTTCAGGCTGTTTCATCATCCTCCAGCCCACAGCCCAGATAGAGAGGATGTTAGAGAGGCAGACGGGGCCAGACCCTGCTGTGTCTCCCAGGCCCTGGTATGTGGTGGGACCCCATTGTAGAGTTTGGAGCCAGAGAATTATCTGGTCTGATCCATGTTTCACACACACCACTCCTACTGCCTTGTGGAAACAAGATTGCAGAGGGACACAAGGAAATAGGGTCTGCTTTGCATATGGGTCCTTGTGGAAGCAATGGAACCTCAAGGGGGCCATGGCCCTGGCAGTCATTGCTACTCTGGGCCTTCCTGATGCTGGGAGACATGGCATTGAGCATGCCGCCTCAGAGGAGGGTCCAAACGGGGTAGCCAAGAATACAAGCAACACACACCCTCGGCAACTCAGGCTTTTATGCGACGGAGTTCCCAGAGAGAAGGTGGGGTAGGACCAGAACCAATGACATTCTCTTATGACTCTGGTGGTGGTCTCGTTTTTCATCTCTAGGCTAGTGCTAGAGGGACTTGGGAAGCGTGGGTGACACATTTATTGCCATTTGTTTTTGGTTTGTTTTTGCTTTCTTTTGGCTGCCCCTCTCAGCATGTGAGATCTTAGCTCCCCAACCAGGAATCAAACTTGTACCCCCTGTATTGGGAGGCAAAGTTTTAACCACTGAACTGCCTGGGAAGTCCCATCTTTAGTATTCTTAAACAGACTTCTTCCGGAGAATGTGAATAGAAATATTTAGTACATTCCTATGAAATGCCAATATTGTTCTCTTTTTTAAAAATTAGTTAATATTTATAATATATGAAAAGCTCTTTCTTAAAAAAATAATGTGTTAGTGGTGGATTTGGTCATGGTCATAGAAGCTAGACCTTTGAGAANTTTTTTTCCATTTATTTTTATTAGTTGGAGGCTAATTACTTTACATCATTGCAGTGGTTTTTGTCATACATTGAAATGAATTACCAAGGATTTACATGTATTCCCCATCCTGGTCCCCCCTCCCACCTCCCTCTCCACCCGATCCCTCTGGGTCTTCCCAGTGCACTAGGCCCGAGCACTTGTCTCATGCACTGGGTTCAGTCCTTAGTCTGCAAAATTCTGCAAGCCTTGTGGAACAGCAAAAAAAAAAAAAAAAAAATCAAAACAAATACAAAAGCACAAAGAAGAAAGTAACAAATCATGCAATTTCCTACCACCAAGAAATAACTATTTTTAACACTAGATTATAATCATTTCATACCTCTTTCTGTGCAAATAGGTAGTTTAATAGGTAGTTGGACGAGTGAGTGGATTAAAAATAACTTTACAGGGGCTTCTCTGGTGGCTCAGTGATAAAGAATCCGCCTGCCAATGCAGAAGGCGTGAGTTAGATTCCTGATCCAGGAGGATCCCACATGCCGAGGAACAGCTAAGCCTGTGCGTTACAACCATTGAGTCTGTGCCCTAGAACCTGGGGATCGCAACTGCTGAGATCATGTGCCACAACTCCTGAAGCCCGCGCACCCAGAGTCCGTGCTCCGCAGTAAGAGAAGCCCGAGGTAGGTACTGTCTTACTCTGAAGTAAGAGAAGTGCAACTAGCGACAAAGACCAAGCACAGCCAGAAATAAATGAATACAGATAAATAAAATTATTAAAAAATAGCTCTGCATATTTGTATCTTGGTTTCAATGAAAATGTGAACTTTAATTTTGCTTACTGTAACAGGAGCTAAAGTAAGATGAAAAGATTACCTGAACTTCAGGTAAATGCTTATGTACTAATGACATCTGTTTCTTTGAGATTCATTAAGCTTATGAATAAAAGATAATTACAAAATACAGTAATTCTTTTTAAATTACAGTTTCCATTTAGTTCATATCTGTTTCCTGAATTGGTGCATGTTTGAGAGTTTCTGCTTAATGCTTTTATAATTGGGATCACATCCTTTTGGATGGAATATTGTTCTTTTTTTTTTTTAAACAAGAAGTTTATTTAAACAACAAAATGCTTGACTTGAAGGGAAAATTATTTCAGATTCATTTCTATGAGAGTAATTTATCCCTACTTAAAGACAGGATTCAACCCCTCGATCAGGAAGATCCCCTGGAGAAGGAAATGGCAACCTACTCCAGTATTTTTGCCTGGGAAAGCCCATGGACAGAGGAGCCTGGGTGGGCTACAGTCCATGGGGTCCCGAAGAATCTGACATGACTTAGCAACTAAATAACAACAAAGGCAGATTGCCCTACGTGTAATAGCTTCATACAAAAATGTTATAAAATTCCTTGGTTTTACAATGATAAATGAAAAAGTTTAAATTCTCCAATTAAACAAGGTATGCAAGGATTTTTATGTTGTTCTTTTTTTGTTGTTGTTAAACAGAGTGAAATAACTTACTGGAATATAAAGATAAAAAGAGCTGAATGAGCATGCCAGTGATGGAGAACAGCGGATATTTTCACAGATCCAATATTTTCCCCCTGGAAGGAATATTCTTTATTTAAATTTTAAAAATTTTTAAAAATGTAATGGGAGTATAACTGCTTTCCAATGTTCTGTTAGTTTCTGCTGTACAATGTGAATCAGCGGTACATATACATGTATCCCCTCCCTCTTGAGCCTCTCTCCCAGCTCCCCCGATCCCACCCCTCTAGGTCATCAGAGAGCCCTGAGTTGAGCTCTCTGTGACCTACAGCAGCTTCCCGCTCGCTGTCTTTTTCTCGTGGCATTGTGTACATATCACTGCTGCTTCTGTGCCGGGCTCGGTCATGTCTGACTCTTTTCGACCCGGTGAGCTACAGCTTGCCCAGGCTCCTCTGTCCACGGGATTTCCCAGGCAAGAACACTGGAGTGGGTTGCCATTTCCTACTCCAGAGGATCTTCCTGACCCAGGGATGAAATCCATGTCTCTGATATCACCAGCATTGGCAGGTGATTTTTTTTTTTTTTTTTTTTTTACCACTGCACCACCTGGGAAGCCCATTTATATCAATGTTACTCTCTCAATTCATCCCACCCTCTTCTCCCCACCCTAGCTCCCCCACTGCGTCCAAAAGTCTGTTCTCTGTCAGAATATTCTTTTTTTTTCCTTTTTAAAATTAGTTACTTCTGGCCGTGCTGGGTTTTCATTGCTGTGTGAGGGCTTTCTCTGGTTGTGGCGAGCGGGGACTGCTTTCTAGCTGCAGTCTGCAGGCTTCTCACTGCAGTGGCGTTCTTGTTGTAGAGCACAGGCTTAGTAGCTGTGGTTCCCGGGCTTAGTTGCTCCGCGTCATCTGGGAGCTTCTTGCACCAGGGATCAAACCCATGTCCCCTGCATTGGCAGGGGGATTCTTAACCACTGGGCCATCAGAGAATAGTCAAGACTGAATAGTCTTGACTCATTTTTTCCCCTCTTGGACCCTTCCTTTGAGCTGGTGGAAGCTGTGAAAAGTTCTGAGGCTAGATAAAGTTTCTTCTCATATGTAGGTTACACTTTCCTGCCTGAAGGCCTGTAGAATGCTTTCTCTTGCCTTGAAGTTTAATAGCTTAGCCAGGATTGGCTCTAGGCCAGTCACTCTATTAACTTTTCGAGGCATTTGGTGTGCCCTTTGACTGCTGATTACCTCCTTCTGTATCTCTGCATACTTTTCCTGTCTGATTTTTTTTAGATTCTCTGCCTCTGAGTCATCCTTTACAACCAAGTGTTGGATTGTCTCTTTCTAACTTCCACAATTAAGAATTTTTCCCCAGGTGCTTTCATCTGTTTCTTTTCTTCTCTGCATTCACTATGATTGTCTCAAGAATTTCCTCTGTTAACAATTCTGATTTTTGATCATACTGGTTCTCTTCCTTGTGTCTAATTGATTAGATTTTCATGGTGGTGTTTTGGTCTTCTCTTCACTTCCTTAGTTCTGTAATTTCCCTTTCCGTCTCATTCTGGGTGTCATTTTCTTGAGCTTGTGCTCTTATTTCATGATTCATCTATAAAGCACTTGTAGGGGCATTTTCTTCTAAGTGTGGGATGCATTTTCTTCCATACAGGTTTCTAAATGTTTAGCACCTCTAGGACTGGTCCTTTTCCCTTCTTTGCCTACATCTTCTGACTAGAGGATCTCTTCTGTCTTATGATCGAATGCCATGTAGATGCTAATGACTGGCAAACTTACCCATTTAGTCCACGCCTATTTCTTCGAGTGAATTTTTAAAATTAATCAACTACTTTATTTTTGGCTGTGCTGGGCCTTTGATACAGGACGCTGGATCTTTGTTGCTGCCTGCCAGGTTTCTCTAATTGTTTCAAGTGAAGGCTACTCTCTAGTGGCAGTGCGCAGGCTTCTCATGGCGGTGGGTTCTCTCATTGCAGAGCGTGGGCTCTAGGGGGCTTGGGCTTCAGTAGTTGTGGTATATGGACTTCATTGCCCTGTGGCATGTGGGATATTACTTTTCAGACCAGGGATCGAACCCATGTCCCCTGCATTGGCAGGAGGGTTCTTCACCACTGGACCACCAGGAAAGTCCCCACACCTATCTGTTGAACTCAGATTAGACTTCAACTGATTCCTTGACATCTTCACATCTAATATGCATCTCAGAATCCAAATGTCTTATACGAATCTGTTAGTTTTCATCTCCCACCTCCCAGTTTTCCTCCCACAGTTATCTCTGTTAGAGTAAATGGCACCAATATTCACCCCACTGCTCAAGTCGAAGGCTTAATAGACATCCTTCTCCTCATGGCCCGCAACCAGTCCACGACCAAATCCTCTTATATCTACCTCCTCAGTGTTCCGCAGAGTTCTGCACCTATTTCATCTCCACCCCATTTTTACCTCTTGTCTGGGTACTCCACTGACTCCTAACTGGCCTCTCTCCCACTGTTGACCCCTCAGGGATTTGTTCTTCACTTAGGAACGAGGATGTGGTGGTTTAAAACCTGTCTGCAAATTCTTTGATGTATCTTTCATCAGGAGGTGGAATCCAGTTCCCCTTTTTTGCTTGAATATGTTACCTGCTTAAGTTACTTAGTTACCTGCTTCTAAGAATAGAAAACTGGATACCTATGCCTTACCAGGCCAGGTCATAAAAGTATGATAAGGTGTCCACCTGCCTCTCTCTCCCAGGATGGTTGCTCTTGGGACCCATTCTCCATCCCTTAAGTGAGTCCAGGCCACGTGGATGGGTTACGTGTAGGTGTTGCACTGGACAGCGACAGGGCAGGTCGCAACTAATAGATCTCTGAGCAAGGGAACACTGAGATCACGCCAGCCCAGCCATTGTTTAAAGGCAACCACAGTACAGCAGAAACTAATGCAACACTGTAAAGCAACTATACTCCAATTAAAAAGACAACCACAAAAGAGAGCTTGATCGAGAACCACATGGCTGAGTGCAGTCAGCTCCCAGAATGGTGAGAATGATAGTGTGTGTTCCTATTATCTTACATCACTAAACGTGGGATGGTTTGTTACACAGCAACAGATAACTGATGCACCGAGTGACTTTCAAATATAAATGATATTGTGTGACTTCCCCACTTGACAGCATTCACTCTTTTAGAATTGAGTTTACTTTTTTTTTTTTCCCCTCACTGTATGGCTTGCAGGATCTTAGTTCCTTGACCAGGGATTGAACCCATGTCCTCAACAGTGAAAACCCAGAGTCCTAATCAATGGACCACCAGGGAATTTCCTAAAATTGAGTTTAATGTAAAATCAAAACCAAATCCTAGCACGATCTGGTCCTGCCTTGCCATCTGTCTTCCCTATTATTCATTGGGCTCCAGCCCTGTAAACACCAAGTGCGTTCTCTCCTCAGGACCTTTGCACATGCTCTTCTCCACATGAAACACTTCTCATACCTCTTGCCATGGCTGGATCTTTCTCATCTTCCGGACCTTAGTTCAAGCATCACCTCTGTCACCCATCCTCCTTTTGGTCACAGCACCTTGCTTAGTTTCCTCAGCAGGTGCCACACTCAAAAATTGGCTTATTATTTGTTTATTATAAAAAATTGTGTCTTCTCTCTCCCCCCCATTAGAACATAAACGACACATGGGAGGGGTCTCATCTTGTTCATTCTCAGAACCTAGTAGAGTAATTGACACATAGCAGGCATGCAATAAAGGTATTCATCTTTAGAATGAATATGAAGGGAGGGAGATTTTGTGGCTTACTTCCTTTATGTGGAAATCCAACCAAAGTGTTGAAAGTTCTCTCTCATGGCATTTCCTAGTATTGAGTCTGGACTAATTAAAAGAGAATAATCTGTTTTTTGCTGTCATCACTTTTTTGATTCATTCATTCATTCATTAAGCATAAGATTCCTTCTCTCAGAAGGAGGAGGTAAACAAACCATTAATATTAAAGATATAATGTTAGGATGTGATACATCTATGAAGAAAAATGAATCAGGGTAAGGGGCTAGAGTGTGACTATTTTAGGGGGACTGTTTTATTTTATTTATTTAAAAAATTCTCAAGTTATATTTTAAGAAATATTAATTTATTTGGCTCTGCTGGGTCTTAGTTGCACAATGCGGGATATTTTAGTTGTGACATGCTGAATCATAGTTCCCTTCCAGGGGTCGAACCTGCACCACTAGCATTGGCAGTGCAGAATCCTAACCACTGGACCACCAGAGAAATCCCCTAAGCTCTGTCTTTTAATCAAAGATGGAACTCTTTACCAAATGGCTACATTTAGACAGTTTCTAGTGTTATCTTGCATTGCCTTTTAAATGATTCAGATATCATTTCTGTGTGTCTAAATGATTAAGCACTCTAAGTACAATATGATCCAAAAGAGGACAGTTTTACCCCAAAACACATTGAGTTGTATGTGTTAAATATATACAACTGTCTACATGTCAATCATACCTCAATAAAGTGGGTGGAGAGAATACAACTTTAAAGAAAATGAAACATGTTGGCATTTTTCTTAAATTCAAGAAAAATTTACTGACTTACCTCAATCTCATTGGACAGAATGAAAATGATCCTTTGTAATTCATTGGATGTTCTTAGACTCCAAAGCTCTTGCTAATGTGTTTTATTCTATCTCCAAGTGGAAAATAATTTTCCATTTCCACTTCAAGTTGCTCCCTGACATTCTTCATTCTGGTTAAGCTTCATTCTGGTTCACCAGAACAAAGGCATCCCGGGTTGCCCTGGAGTGAATGCTTTCATTGTCTGACTTTATTGTGTCCTATTTCCAAGGGGAAAATTCCAGAGGTCGTGAGGGAGCAGATTGTACTAGCTCATAGCTTTCCTCCCTAGCTAAATACTTGAGGAACAAGCATGGATTGAGGGATATGAGAGATAAGCCAAATGAGGCTTGGAATCCCTTCTGGTGCTAATATAGAAGTGGAGGAGAGGGGACTTTCTTGGTGGTCCAGTGACTAAGACTCTGAGCTCCCAGTGAGGGGGGCAGGTTCCATCCCTGATCAGGGAACTAGATCCCATACACTGCAACTAAAGAACCTGCTTGCTGCAACCAAGACTCAGTGCGGCCAAATTAGGGAAAAACAAAAAAGGCTTGGAGGGGAGAGCAGTGAAGCAAGGGCTTGCACCTGCCCCTAACTTTCTGGAGGGTTTCCCTGGTTCTCCCTCAAGCCCACCTTCTTTTTCTAACTTCCTTTCCCATCCTTCTCTTCCTACTTTTTGGGTATTCTGGGAACTGTAGGGAATAATCTTATTTCCATGGGCAATATTTTAATGGAAGAGAGTCCAATAAACACTATTTCTGATAAAAAAAAATAATCTGTTCATCTCTTGAAATGCCTCCCTCTTCACCCTCCACTTTCTCCTTTCCTGATCTCTAGCCCCAGATTTCACTAAACCCCTCTGGACACAATTGGCTTCCTTTGACTCTTTGGTCTTTTCAATGTGTTGTCTTGTATTTCAGTGCTTTTGTTTTTGTTTTTTTTAAATTTTGCATCTAGAACTAAAAGTTAGGTTTCATTTGAGCTGAGAGAAAATGTATAGAGAAGCAGACAAATTATTTCAACCTTCAAGTAGCATTAACGTTGAAGATCTTTCTCATCTGTTCCCTGCCTGTGGCCAGTGAATTCTTCCACAGATTTGTAGCGTTTGTTTGTTTGTTTAAATAATGGTGTTTATGGACTTCTCTGATGGCTCAGACGGTAAAGAATCTGCCCACAATGTGGGAGACTGGAGTTCGTTCCCTGGGTTGGGGAGATCCCCTGGAGAAGGGAATGGCAACCCACTCCAGTATTCTTGCCTGGAGAATCCCATGGACAGAGGAGCCTGGCAGGCTACAGTCCATGGGATTGCGCAGAATTGAACACACCTGAGCAACTAATACTGGTGGCTTACTGGTTAAGAATTCATCTTGCAATGCAGGGGCACAGGTTCAATCCCTGGTCTGGGAAGATCCCACATGCCTCTGGATGACTAAGGTTGTGCGCCACAGCTACTGAGCCTGTGCTCTAGAGCCCACAAGCTGCAACTACTTAAGCCCGCCTGCCTCAGAGCCCGTGCTCTGCAACAAGAGACGCCACCGCAATGAGAAGCCTGTGCGCCACAGCAAAGAGTAGCCCCGGCTTGCTGAAACTAGAGAAAGCCCACTCGCAGCAGTGAAGACCCAACATGGCCAAAGATAAAGAAATTAAATAAATAAATAAATTTTTGAATAGTGGGACTGGGAATTCTCTCATGGTCCAGTGGCTAAGACTCTGCTCTCCCCATGCAGAGGACCTGGGTTCAGTTCCTGGTCAGGGAACTAACTAGATCTCACACGCTGCCGCTAAGACCTGGTGCAGCCAAATTTAAAATATATAGATATAGATATAGATTTACATATATAGTGGTATTTATATGTTTTTGGCCATACCACGTGGCATGAGAGATCTTAGTTCCCTGACCAGGGATTGAACCCATACCCCCAGAAGTAGAAACTCAGAGTATTAATCACTGGAATAGCAGGGAAGTCCCTCCAGATTAGTAGCATTTGAATATTCTCTTACTTCAAGAAGAAAGTAACCTTTGCCCCTCCTTTTTTTTTTTTTTTTGATACAGGTTGACACAAGGTGACACAATTCCCTGCGGCAGAAGAGGGGTAGGCACGGGATCCCTCACATGAGAGGAATCCCGCTCCGCGTGGAGAGCGAGCAGGAGGAGCGCAGGCCCTGCACTAGGGAGGCGCCTGACCGGAGCCTTGCCCGCTCTTGCTTTGGCCTCTCCCTGAGGTCTCTTCCTGGCCCACAGTGTCCCCACCGACCCCCGGACAGATCTGGACAGATCTGTTGTCCTCTTCTACTCCGGTCCCATGTGCCAACGCTGTGTGGGGCTGAGGCTGACCTCGGCTTCACCCTGGAGTTGGGGGGTGCCGTGGAGGCCCCCACTTGGCACGGCCAGCCTCCCCGAACACTCAGTCAGGACTGGCAGGTGCCTCCTGGGTCAGACCCCCAGGGACCTGCAGGCTGTGGTGTTGGGCAGTCATTCTGGATGCCCTGGTCCCCGCTGCCCACTCCAGCCCTCAGAGGGACCAAGACAGGGCCTCACAGTCCCTGAGGCTGGCCTGTCCACTTCTGCCCCTCCTCGAGGAGCCTGGTCTCTGTTCACCCAACTGGGAACAGCAAAGGTATTTTCTGGCCTCAGGAGGGAGTTGGGAGTGGGCCGAACCATCACAGCCTTTGCCCTTGATGGCAAACAGAGTGGAGAGTCACCTGGTTGAGGAGTTGGCACTGCTCAAGGGTTTGCATAAGCTGGAAGTTGAGAAATCCTGCTTGCTGGAGGGAGAACCGGAGGCAAAGGGGACTGAAGCCCCTTTAGGAGGAGACAGTCTCCCGTAGGTGACCCTTTATGGAACGGCTGACCTAAGCCCTCCTCTTTTCTGTCCGCTTGGTGAATTAATTAGGCTCTTTTGAACTTGATTTCCTCATTTTTGAAATTAGGGATAAGACCACCAGTTCCCTGAGATCCTTTTCTTTCTTTCCACGTGGGATCTTAATTCCCCAAGCAGGGATTAAACAGGGCCCTTGTCAGTGACAATGTGACGTCCTAACTGCTGGACCGCCAGGGAATTCTCCAAGATCCTTTCCATCTTGGCCATTCTATGAGATTATTAGTGAGATTGGTTTTCTAGTAAACAAACACTCAAAACAGTGCTGTGATGCTTAAGGTAGGCCTTAATGTATTCCTATAACCTTGTGCGTGTGTGTGTCTGTATGCTTAGTCGCTCAGTCTTATCTGACTTTGTGACCTCATGGACTATAGCCCACCAGGCTCCTCTGTCCATGAGATTTTCCAGGCAAGAATGCTGGAGTGGGCTGCTATTTTCTACTCCAGGGGATCTTCCTGACCCAGGGATTGAACACATGTCTCTTGGGTCTCCTGCATTGGCAGGTGGATTCTTTACCGCTGCATCATCTGGGAAGCCCCTATAACTTTGTAATTACCCCCAATAAGGAGGAAGTACCTGCAAAAAGAGACCTTATTCCCCTTCTTCCTCTTTTCCTTCCTTCCTTCCTTCATGGCTTCCTTGCTTTTTTATAGCCTTAATTACCTTCTTCAATCATATGTCTTTTGAGACTAGAGTTACCATTTATAAACAGCCATTTGAGTCAGGTCTTGTGGATAAAGGAGGGTCAAACACGATGTCACTGGCTGTGACAGTTTCCCAGGGAGCGTGCTGCAAACTCTGAAATGCTGTCTGCGAGTCACTGGGCCACAGTTCAGACTTCTTGCCAAGTTCAGAATCGCACATGAAAAATATCCTTCCTGTCAAAGGAGTGAAGCACCAGGGCTTCCTCTGGATCCATTTCTTTTCTCAGTTCTGGAATTTTTAACTGTAGATTTTGATGTCTGATTTGGTTGTACTAGGCACTCCCACTGCTGTTTCCTTTAAAACTCCCTGATTGGTCCAGCTCCTGAGAGAAATCTTTGCTGTTTTATATGTCAAAATACATGGACTAATAATTGCAGAAACATGCTACATATTCCAGGTTACTTTAAAAATTAGACCAAAGCTTTATTTACCATTTACTTTTCAGCTTTCATGAAAGTGGTTAGCCATCATTTAAAGAAAACAGTATTTTCTGACCTTTCCCCCATTTTCACAGGTTATGGGTTGCCTGCATGGGCAAGGGTGAACCTTACAGGCAGATGGCTTCTTGCCCAGAATGGCTAGGATACCATTTCTAACCATGTCACTGTGCAGATGTAGAACGAAAAGCCACTTGGCAGCGAGCTATATCGGGAATTCAGGCATCATGTGGGTGGCGGGATTTACAGGGCCTTTTCCTTTCAACCAGAAAATTCTACATTTCTGTGATGCTAACTCCTTCCCTACCTGCCACACACCATCAGTGGGCAGATTCTGACATGACTTTCCATAACCGTGCCTCTTGGTATTCAGTCCATTGGGTAATATCTTCCTCTGATTGTGGGTTGAACCTTATGACTTAAAAAAAAATTTATTTATTTATTGTTTTTGGCTACATTGGGTCTTCGCTGCTGCCTGGGCTACTCTCTAGTTGCAGTGCGAGGGCTTCTCGCTGGGGGGACGTTTCTTATTGCAGTTCCTGGGCTCTAGAGCACAGGCTCAGAAGTTGTGGCACACGGCCTTAGTTGCTCCGTGGCATGTGGGATCCTCCCAGACCAGGGATCGAACCCTTATCTTCTGCATTGGCAGGTGGATTCTTTACCACTGAACCACCAGAGAAACCTGGAATTTTAAAAATATGTATTTATTTATTTGATTGTCTCAGGTCTTAGTTGGGGCATGTGGGATATAGTTCCCTGACCAGGAATTGAACCTAGCCCCCTGAATTGGGAATATGAAGTCCCAGCCACTGGACCACCAGGGAAGTCCTCTGATGACTGGTTTCTAAGGAACAGAACGCACAGAGATGATCAGATGTCACTTCCATGGCTAGGTTACTTGTAACACTGGGACTTCCATCTCACTACCACTTTCCTTTGCTGGCACTCTCTCTGCCTGTCTCTGCTTTCTTACCCAGCTGAAGCAAGCTGCCACCTGGAAAGACTCAGACAGTCCAGAGCTGAGGTTGACCTCTGGGCAGCAGTCATCAAGGAACTAAGGCTCCCAGTGCAACCACGAGTGAGGAGGTGAATCTTGCCAAAACCGTGAGATGGAGCTTTGAATCAGCCCCTTCTCCAATTCAAGCTTCAGATAAGACTGCAGCCTTGGCTGAAACCTTGGCACAGCCTTGCGAGAAACTTGAAGACAGAGGACCCAGCTGGGCTGTGGATTCCTGGAAATCCAGGTTCCTGACTGAGAGAAACCGTGGGAAACAATAACTATTGGGTTTTTGTTGTTGTTTTGTTGCTGTTTTGTTTTTGGCCACGCCTGCAGCTTGCAGAATCTCAGTTCCCTGACCAAAGATCAAACCCACGCCCGTGCATTGGCAGCACAGAGTCTCAACCATGGATCACCAGGGAAATCCCACTATTGCGGTTTTAAGTCACTGAAGTTTTAAGGTTTGGGGGCTAATTTGTGATGCAGCAGCAAATAACCAATACATCATTCAATATTGTCAAAAACCCTCACTCTCTTAATGTTTTATTGACCCGAACTCCTTTTAGTGTAGCAAGTGTTTTGCTTTTAGATTTCATTTGACTGAAATTTATTATCAAAGGGGTTGGAATCAGTCATCTAGAAAGTGCCCCTCAGCTGCACATTTCAACAACAAATTCTTTGTTCCAAAGAACAAAACATTCTTTTTTTTTCATCCTTAGGAAATAAGAAGTCTTAAGTGGCCACAATCTTGCTGGCACAAGATTAACTGGCTGGCTGTGCAGACGGCTGCTGGTGTGAGCGGATTCAGGGGCAGGGTGTGCAGCTGTGACACAAGCTCTTTTGAACTTTCACCCTCTGGAGAAACTCAGGGTTCTCGGGGTCAGCCACCCCTCTCCCACTCTTCGTGGACTCTGACTCACTTTACAGTCTGGTCTTATTGTGGGTTCCTGTCCATGGTTGGTTTAGTCGCTAAGTCATGGCCGACTCTTTGTGACCCCATGGACTGTAGCCTGCCAGGCTCCTGGGGTTCATGGGATTTCCCAGGCAAGAATACTGGAGTGGGTTACACGTCCTTCTTCATGATCTTCCCCACCCAGGGATCAAACCTGGGCCTCCTGCATTGCAAGCGGAATCTTGACCAACTGAGCCACGAGGAAAGACCCATAGCATTTTTTAAATTACGTATTTATTTACTTATTTGGCTGTGCCTGGTCTTAGTTGCACCATGTGGGATCTGGTTCCCTGACCAGGGATCAAACCCAGTCTCTTGCATTGAAAAATCAGAATCTTAGCCACGGGACCACCTGGGAAGTCCCAGCATTGTTAGAGATAACTCTAAAATGCCTTTCTTCTTTCTTTTTCTGAGAACGAATGCCTGAGTCCTCCCTTCCCTTCTTTGAGGACATGGAGGCAAAGACAGGTTAAGTGGCCCACTCCTGGCCGGATCCTGACTTCTCCCTCGATACAGCAGCGCACCCCTACCTTCACTGAAAAAGGAACTCTGAGCCTCTTTAGAACGCTGATGTTGCTACCAGCACACCCTGAATCCTCTGACTTGAACATTTCATGCTGCTCCCTAAATTCTCTGGAGTTCTATGAAAGCGATATCGTCAGCTTTAAACTATTTTCTCTTCTTGCTTTTCTCTCTTCTAAATTAATTTATACCGGAGTATAGCAAGGCCTATACTGGTGGCTCAGACGGTAAAGTGTCTGTCGGCAATGCAGGAGACCCAGGTTCGATCCCTGGGTTGGGAAGATCCCCTGAAGAAGGAAATGGCAACCCACTCCGGTATTCTTGCCTGGAAAATCCCATGGACGGCGGAGCCTGGTAGGTAGCCATGGGGTCGCAAAGAGTCGGACACGACAGAGCGACTTCACTTTCACTTTCATAGCAAGGCCTGGCGTTCTGCAGTCCCTGGGCTCACAAAGAGTCGGACACGACCGGGCAACCGAACAACATAGTCGCTTTACAACTGGGTTCTACCGTACCCAGTTATACGTATACATACGTCCCCTCTTTTTGGATTTCCTTCCCGTTTAGGTCGCCACAGAGCACGGAGTAGCGTTCCCTGTCTGTACAGTAGGTTCAGTTGTATTATTTTATACGTAGTATCAATACTGTATAAGTGTCAATCCCAATCTCCCAGTTCATCCTGCTCCTCTTTCCCCCTCTTTCTAATTTCCCTATTTTCCACTCCTTTCTCCCTCTCTTTATGTCATCTTCTTGTATCATTTGCTGTTAAGTAAAGACATGAAAAAGTTTGTTCTTTTAAAAAACAAGTAGATAAATATATATATTTGATGTATACATACATCAAATTTGATGTATGTATATAGGTATATATATACACACACACACACATATATATACTAAGCACAGTATATACTATATATATTGTTTCAGGTATATATATATTTGATGTATACATACATGTATGTATACATAAAACATATATATATATACCTGAAACTATATATATATATAGTATATACTGTGCTTAGTCACTCAGTGGTGTCCAACTATTTGCGACCCCATGGAAGGCTCCTCTGTCCATGGGGATTCTCCATATATAGATATAAAATGGAAATAAGCAATGAATTTCAGAATGCAGCCAAAATGAGGGAGCATGACTTCTAAGGCTAGATCACAAAAGGCAGTGTGCTTTTCAACCTGTTTACTGGAACACTCATCCTGGAGCCCTGAGCTGCCCTCGAGGGAGTGGTTTGAGGCCACCATGTTGTGGGGAAGCTCAGACAAACCCACATGGAATGACCTCAGAGAGAGTTCATGAAACGACATGAAGAGGGAGAGTGAGAGGTACCAGCCAGCTCCTGCTGCTTCTTCCCCCTGCTGCTCCTCTTTTAAACGTTTTCAGATTTCAACAAGATGGGAAGACGCTGAGCCAACCAAGCCCTTCTCAGACTCCCAACCCATAAAAACTGTGAAATATAACAAAACGATTATTACTGTTTTAAGCCACTGTTTTGGGATAATTTGTGATGTAGCGATAGATAAGTAACAGTAACTTGCCTCCCCCACCCCCCACCGCCTTATTAAGTCATAGAGCTGAGATTTGAGCTGTCAGTGCCGTGAATAAAAAGACAACACATGCATACATAAAGACACATTTTTTAATCTTCAGGTATAGCTAGGAGGAGAACTGGCTATTGCAGTTCATCTGGCATTCACAGTCCACAAGGCTAAGTTGTAATTTAGCATAACTTTGTTTGCACACGTTGATGAGGTCTGAGAGATTCAAATTACACAGCAAAGTCATACTTTTTCTTTTAAAACATGTCTGACTTCTCTCTAGCATATGAATGACCAGAGTTCTTCTCAAAGACTAGCCCTGGAAGGGAAGGGCTGGTTGAAAACAAAGTAGATTCCTGTGTGCCACCCAGATCTCTGAATCTGATTCTCTTGGTGGTAGGATCAGGAATCTGAATTTTAAACAACTCTCCAGGTGGTTCTGTTTTTATTTTCTCTTAAATTTTTTTTTTTAATTTGGCTATACCAGGTCTTAGTTACAGCACACAGGATATTTAGTGGCAACACATGGAACCTTCTGGTTGCAGCCCATGAGATCTAGTTCCCTGACCAAGGATGGATCCTGGGCCCCCTGCATTGGGAGCAAAGAGTCTTAGCCACTGGACCACCAGGGAAATCCCTCTCTAGGTGCTTCTTAAGCACATTAGAATTTGAAAACAGCTGCTCTGTGGCCAACATCATTTAACTTGGAGAATATTCAAGGTAGGCCTTCCTAATTAGCCTCTCCAGGAAAAATCATGCAATCACTAACCTTTCAATCAATATAACTCCCTGAATTTGCCTGATTGTAAGGATCACCTAGGGGATTTGACAAAGATATACATTCCTAGGTCTCTCCTGGGAAACTGAGAAGCAAAGCCTAGGAATCTGAACTTTATATTAGTTGTTAAGGGAATTCCCTGGTGGTCCAGTGGTTAGCTTTCACTGCCGGGGGCACATGTTCAATCCCTGGTCAGGGAGCTAAGATCTCACGAGACCTTCGGTGTGATCCAAAAAAAAAGTCGTTCAATGTTCTTCTAAGTAACTGCACAAATTTATGTGTTCCATGGAGTTATTGAAATATAAATCAGCTAGATTTTGGATAGCATTTACCCAAAATGATAATTTTAGTTTTCAAATAGCAGTGTATTTTAAGCCATCATTTCTGGAAGAATTAAATTTCACCGAATGCTTTATTTTTCTTTTATCCATAGAGATGAGGATTAAGATGACAATAGGTAGCACCTGGGCTTCCCAGGTGGTGCCAGCGGTAAAAAAAAAAACCCACCTTCCAATGCAGGTAGATGTAAGAGATGTGGGTTTGATCCCTGGGTTGGGAAGATCCCCTGGAGGAGGGCACAGGCAACCCACTCCATTATTCTTGCCTGGAGAATCCCACGGACAGGGAAACCTAGCAGGCTGCAGTCCATAGGGTCCACAGAGTCGGGTACAACTGAAGCAACCTAGCACATACACACCTGGTTAGTATTTGTTGGGCACTTACTATGTGCCAGGCACCATACATTTGATCCTCCCCAAACCTTTTTAGGCAGGTACTATTGCTATCCATATTTCTTTTTTTTTTTTTTTTGGCTGAGCTGCACAGCTTGTGGGATCCTAGTCCCCCAACCTGGGATCGAACCCGCACCCTCTGCAGTAGATGTACGATGTCTTAACCACTGGACCGCCAGAGAAGTCCCACCATCCCTCTTTTATAGATGGAGATTCTGAGGCTGAGGGAGGTTATGTACCTTTTCAGGTACATCCAGCTTGAGAAGTTAGAGCTATGATTCCAACCCATGTGTTTAACCCATGCAATACTGCCTTTCTCCCCTTATCCCAGACCAATTCACCTGATGTTCAGAATGTGCCTTTGGGGCTTTCCTGGTCATCCAGGGGTTGAGAATCTGCCTACCAATGCAGGGAACATGGATTCAGTCCCTGGTCAGGGAACTAAGATCTTACATGCCACAGAGCAACTAAGCCAAAGCTAACTAACTAAATAAAAATTTTAAAAATGTCTTTGTTCAATATGCTTTTGTGAAATGTATTTCTTATATAAAACAGAAGGTTTACCTTGTGCTGTGTGTGACTCACAGCTAAAAGATTGCTAGAAACCTTGTTCTTAACACATAGAGGCCTCTTTTAAAAAAATATTTTCTATACCAGCAAGAGAAGCTTGCCAATTTAAATTATGAGAGAGTAAAGCCTCTTGTAGGACTATCCTGGTGGCTCAGATGGTAAGGAATCTGCCTGCAATGCAGGAGAGCCAGGCTCGAATCGATCCCTGGATTGGGAAGACTTCTTGGAGAAGGGAATGGCAATCCACTCCAG